TTTGTTTGTTTGTTTGTTTGTTTGTTTGTTTGTTTGTTTGTTTGTTAGTTTGTTTGTTTGCTTGTTTTAATCAATTTTAAATCCTGCTTTTATTTGTTTTTGTTTCTAATGTCTCTGTAAAACACTTTGAATCACTTGTTGTTGAATTGTGCTATACAAATAAACTTGCCTTGATGTAAATGATATAAAACTGTGAGGTATGGCTGTTGTTATCGGAACAGTAAGCATTTGTGTTTGCTGTGTTTCGGTTACCACAGCTGTGTGATTGTTGCACAGTCACGTTGTTGAGGCTCTGAGCGTGTGGATTAAACAGAGACTCGTTTATCCAACAGAAGAATGCTTTTGATTGTCTGAGGTCACATTTCTAGCTGATAGTGTTAGTGAAGAATGAGCAGACGCCCAAACATTTCCTACATGCTGGAATATTCATGGATATCATGACATCTGCTGGGAGGATCTCTCCTGTGGTGATTCCCAAAAATCATTCTGGCTGTTAAACAGCTGACAGGCACAGGTAGGCAGAAGGCGCTGCCGTTGGTTAGAGGCTGGCTGATACTGAAACAATAGAGGTCATTTATCAGGACCGCTGTTTGTGTGACTCATTAAAATATCTGAAAAGCTGCATCAGAACAAACAGAATCCTTTATGTATTTATTTATTTGTGGCTGGAGTAACTTTCCAGCTGACCCTAGTGTCACTCTTCAGATAAAAATGTCTCTGTGAGTTAAACTGCACAATAAATCAGGCTCTCTGTCAGATCTGTGCAGCACATGTGGGCTGACAGAGCGTGACTCCACATCGAGGACAGCGACACGACGGTACGTCTTTCCCACGAGTCGTCGGACTAAAATATTTAAAGAGTTTAAGACTTCAGGCGTGATGCCAGAAAACCGAGGAAAAGTAATAAATGGTGTAGATTACTTAAAGGCTTTGCTCGCTTTGAACAGTAGATGTTAATTGTCTCGGTTTTTATAATCGTCTTTGGCTGTTGTTAGTTTTTCTGCTCCTTTGTGTTTTTGTAGTTTTTCCTCTGTTCTCATGTGTTTGTGTTTATTTGTGTTTATGTGAGATTATTCCTGGTCTCCATTTCTGTTTGCTTCCTGTTTTATTTTGAAGTTTAGCTCCTTGTGTTTTCTCTCTGTG